GGTCCAGCCACGGGGTTCCTAAGACGATGTCGCACATCAAGTGCATGACATCAAACGAGACCTGACTGCRGAGGGTTCCGATGGTCATGATGGTATCGGGAACCGTGCGGTCTACTACGACGGCGGTGTCTTTGTCYCCTAGGCGAATCGTGATCGGGGAGTCATAGCCGGTAGAGGTAAGACCGGCTTTGCSGACACACGCGTCGGTGATGAAGTTACCGGTGGCTCTAATGTCGAGGAGGGCCCGGAACTTAGTTGTAGATGCACCAAGGGTGGCAACGATGAATTTGAGGTGGAAACGAGATGAGTTGGCGGTGGAGATGATGGTGTTGAGGCGGCGTTGTTCGTTGCATAAGCAGACAAGCCGATCGTGCCGGGCTTGTTCCTCAACAACATCGGAGAAGGTGATAGTGGATGCATTTGGAGGAAGGGTAGAGGAGCATGAGGCAGTGGGAGGTGTTTGCGACGCCTGGGAATCGTTCGGTGGAGGGGGCGTCGCCGGAGAGGGGGAAGGCAAACGAATTGTCGATGTCGGATGGGCCATCGGTGCGACGAAGGATGTCACAGATGGGTAGGCGGACAGATGCAATGTTGAAGTTGGGTCAGTGTTCTGGGGACTGTGTTCATGACGAGGAGGGGCCCGCGCTTGCCGAGGGCGGTGATGCGGAGGTTGCAGGTCGCTTGGAGGCGGACTGACGGGTGAATCGTGCGGYGTTGGGGCAGTTGGTTTGTTGGTGCCCCAATTGGCGACAACGGAAGCAACCCCCTTTTGCTTGGAGGTAGGTGCGCTCCTCGGGGGTGAGTTTCTTGAGGCGGGAGGGTGGCGTAGATGAGGGTGGTCGGGAGCTGCGATCTCTCTGCGCTCCATTCTCATGAACTGGACGACATCGAGTTCCTCGAAAGTGATGTGGTGGAAAAAGCGGGTGCGGGAGGTGCCGGGGGGGGCCTGGTGGTGGGGGTGGAGGAGTCGATCGTGGTGGAGCATGCGAGAGAGGAGGTCAGCAAGGGGCATGTCGGGTTCGTGGGCCAGGGCGGTTGCAAGGTCTTTGTGGCATACTCGTTTGATGCGGGAGATGAATGCACAGTCGGGAATGACGGTGTGGGGGAGGTGGTGTCGGAGGGAGCGGACGTATTGGACGAAGCGGTTCGTGGGACCGGTCTGGCGGAGGTGGCAGAATTGTTCAAGGTAGTCGTCAATGGTTTTCTGGGGGCGGAAGGTGGCAGTRAGGAGGGTGGCCCATTGGAGGAAGGTGGGTCGTGGTCCTCCGGAGGCTCGGCGGTTGCTAGCTTCAGCCATCCACCATTTGGCTGCATTGCCRAGGAGGCGGGAGGTGGCAATGGGGAGCCAGTGGGCAAGGGGCATGTGGTGGAGCTGAAAAGAGTTTTGAAGCTGGGTTAGGAAGAGGAAAACGTCCTCGTGGGGGAGGCCGGAGAAGGACATGATTTCACCAGATCGGAAGGAACGGGGGATTTCCCCGTCGCGGTGAACGATCTGCGCGAGGGTGTTGAAGCTGAGGTTATCGGGGGTGGTGTCGTAGCAGGTGTGGTCGATTTGGTTGTTGTCCTCAAGGAGGTAGTTGGGTGGAAGTTGTGGCATTGCGGGGAAGGCCCCCGAGGTGACTTGGGAATAGGTGGGACGGATGGTGGGGATGGTGGAGGTGGTCATGATGGGTTGGGAGAGGGTTTGGGAGTGCGGGGGGTGAAGAGGGGTGACTTTGATGGGCGGGGAATGAGGCGGTGTGCTGGATGCGCCGGATGAGGGAGGAGGTGGAGGGAACGGAACGATGGTGGGGATTGAAGGGTTGGTGGATACGGCGGTAGAGGTGGTAGGAGTGGAGGAGGTCGGCGGGGGGGTGTTGCTAGAGGCGGCTGTGGA